GCGGGGGAGATCACACGTCCCGCCCCCCCCCATTCCTCCCCCAAAAATTCTTTCATCCTCGGCGGCCGTGCAGGAGCTGAGGATGAATCGCATGAAATCCTGTGCGTGTCACCCCAAATGGCTACGTGTGTCAGCACTGACACGCGTGTCATAGGTTCGCCATCACTGATGTATCATATCAGGTAGTACCAGGATAAAGTTCTTATTAAGAGGAGATGGGCATCTGAACTTGTGCAAGTGGAGTTGCACATGTGAGCACGAGCAGCCCCTGCTTGCACAATTGGAGCTGCATGTGTGCACATGCTCCCTTGCCGCTTGTGCGGCCTGGCTGCAAACGTGCTGTGGCCAGGGAGTGGGCTAGGGCTGGGGGATCATTTCAGAAATTTTTCCTCACCAGGTTCTTCAATGCATTCATCCGTGATTCCGTTTCTAGTGTACTGAGTTTCATTGGAAAAGTTGTGATGCGTTCAGTGATAGATCTGCCTTGAAAACAGCTCATATTGAACAGTTCAAACATCAGCACAAAAATGTCTTATGGCATTTTGTATTATATCATAAACTATTTTATGGTAATGTTTGTTTATAAAACATTTTTTTAAAATGCCAAATTCCAATTTCATGGGATTCATGGGTCATAATAGACTTTGGATATATTCTGTAAGTTGGTCCAATTGAGGTACCCTGGTTCAAAAATCCTTGTCCTGTGGTACACTGTTTTGTCCAATTAAAGATTGTGGGAACAAGAGTTTTACTAGTATATAAATATCCTTGGGCTCTACCTACTGGAACCAGTAATTGCTATTACCTCTCTTATGTCAGTTTGGGCCACATCTCCCTTTTGCATTGTGCTAATATATTTGCCTTTCCTCTATTTTGTACAGCCTCTGCCAGAATTCTCTCGCATTCCTGGATTGGTTTTGCCCAGCCAAGCCTTCTCAGATTGCTTAGCCATTGTGGAATTCCTACATAACTATGGCAAGGTGCTGGGCTTTGACGTAGCCAGGGAAGTTCCCAGTTTGAGTACCCTCCAAGAAGGCCTCTTCAACGTAGGAGATAGTTTGGGTGAAGTGTTGGATCTTCTGGTAAAGCTGGTGAAAGTTGCATTGTATGACCCTGGACTTCCTTCATGCTGTCAGGTATGACTGTATCTGTGTTGACAGGATACCATACTCTCAAGCAATCCAAATTCTTTACCAAGAAAAATGAGATAATATTGCATAGTTTTCTTACCTTGCATAATCCTGCAAACTTAAATTATTTATCATGTAAATTTATTTTGTCATCAAGCAAGTCAATGAACTGAACTGAACTGAAATAAACGAACTGAAGCTATAATTCAAATGTTGAGCATCCTATTTAGGCCTTAAGAATACTACAGCCACATTTTTAAACAGTGTCCTAACTGTTAGAAATAAGGGAGTCAAGAGTGAGAAAGCGGCACATAATGGTTCTTTCTCTGCTGTGGGAATGAGGAATACATGCACGGTTGACTTTATTTCAACCTATATCCTATTAATAGGATAATGACTGGGATGGTTTGTCACCAAATGCCAACAAAGAAAGTCAGACTAAGAGATTCTCCTATGTTGGTATCTATTGAAAAGGTCTACCTATTAGCATTGATCATCAGCTGACCTATAAATCCCAAGAGTAGATTGCTGTATAATGCTTTGGATTCAAAGGGAGAAAAGTGTTTTAGAGCACATGGCAGCCCCATCATAATCCTGGTTCGTGAGTCAGGTGGTCTCTTCCCAGTTCCTGCTGCAGAGTCCCATAAACAACCCCATGAATAGATGCAAGGAGTTGTTGACAATAAGCTACCTGACTGCCTCTGCATTCTCTGGACTATTTTTTCCCTTCAAATCCAAAATGCTGCACAGTCCTGCAAAATAAGTATAGCTAACTCTGTCCAGGGACTACTTCTGTACTGATGATCTGATTTTATGCAGATTCAGCTAATAATTAAAGTCAGAATTGAATGACCCGGCTTACACTTTGCATAATTAATGATTTACCATAACATGTGAACCTAGCTAGCTGGGGTGGGTTCAGTAAACTACTGATAAGGAAGCTACAGCTTATTTATTGGGTGTACACACATAATTTGATAGCTGCCATACTGAAACAAACAGCTAACAAAGGGTTACAGAGATGTAGCAAGCAATTCTGCTGTTTTCCTTATTAGAAACCCAGAATTTTAAGTTTTCTTTTCCAACTAACACAATAGAAATCTTGGGCAAAAAAAATAAAAGAAGTGTTCAGAGATTCAAGGGAGAAAAAAAAGATATATTTAAGGGGAAAAGACAAGTTTTAAGTGTTGGTGTTAAGAAGTCCTTGGCTAATGTTCAGATAGTTTTCAGACTCTTTTGCCTTTCATAGTGGAGAACGTGTGTTTGTAATGTAAATTTTGAATTACAATGAAGGGAAGCTGGAATGTTGCTTTTGTGGGAACCATTGCTTGCTTTATGGGTTCAATTCTAATGCAAAGGAACTCTTAAGGCATCCATAAGGTTCCCTGAACCTGTTGTTAGCTTGCAGAGTAAAACTTAGATGCATTTTATGAGAGGAATCCTTGAAAAGGAAAGTTGACTGATTATGCTGCCAGTTGTTGTTTTTTTGTATTCCTTCATATTAACCCAAACACAGCTATTTTGTCTGCTGCCATAAGTTGTGCATCACTAAAAGTGGTGGAGAAAGATAATAAAATAACAATGCTGTATAAACAAGAATAGTGCAAAAACTAGCTGCCCATTATACTTTTGATATACCTCTAGTAACATAGGGAGAAACTGTGCAACATGTGCAATTCCTTTGATCATTTGCAAATTTATTTCCACCCCACCACTGGCTTTGACGTTTCACCAGGTGCAGTCAGCATATTTTCATATCTCTCCAGTCAGTTTGTTTTAGATTTTGTTCTTTTAAGTGAAAGTTGGCTTTTTTCAAGACTGCTGGACTCTGTTTATCCCATACCAGACATTGAACTACAAAGTATAACATAACTAAAGAGTTCACAAGATCTTTCTTCCCTCCTTTTCACCATTGCTCTATTTTACATTTATGGCAGAAAACGCAATCTAGTTCAAGTTACATAGATTGTAGAATTTTTAAAAGCTTGCTTGGTTGTCACATAAAAACTTGATTCCTCAGCAAAGGTGATATGATTATTTTTAAAACTTTGTACTCGGTGTCCTCCATTTCTATCTGTTGTTGATAGGAGGAATTGGGATATATGTGTATATCTGTGGTCCTTTCTTGCTTTTGCTTCCAGACTTTGAAGATCCTTGGTGAAAAACTCACAGAAATAAGCCTGAACCGTGACACTGTGTCTGAGGTCTTGCGCTGCTTCCTCATAGCCTCTGGGGGGGATGAAAGCCTGTGTGCCAGCCTGAGAACTAAACCCTTCCAGGCACTACCTCCGGATAAAAAGGCTGCTATCCTGGCCTTCTTGGTGAACGAGCTCAACAGCAGCACCCTTATCATCAAGTAAGTGATGCCAGGTTAGGTGACTCCTGCAATTGTGCCTCTCATAGCTCGGTGTGACTTATGTAGCAAGAGAGCCATCTAGTGTAGGGCAACACATCAGATCCATTCTCCAAAAGCAGCTTTGGAGTGTGGCTATAGCACCAGCTTGCAGTACCTAAATGTAATATTTCCCATTTCATATTAGCTTAAAACATTAAAAAGAGCCAAGGTGGCGCAGTGGTTAAATGCAGCACTGCAGGCTACTGCTAGATCAGCAGGTCAGCGGTTCAAATCTCACCGGCTCAGGG